GTTTTATAGTTAGATGCATATGCATCATCAAGGAAATTGAGGTTTGATGTATGAATAGGATCCTATGTTGGACGAGGCGCCCGTACCCCTGCCATAGGAATGCCTTCCTAGATAGAACCCGAGATAAAACCTCGGTGTGGACGGTTGGTAGTACCCATTGAAAGGAGTTATGTGCTTAATGTCGCAGACACGATATCCTAGATCGAGGTGACTGACATGGGTTTAGGGGAGGCATCTGATAAAGCCCAACGGATGTATGAATAGAATCCTATGGTGGACGAGGAGACCGTACCCCTGCCATAGGAATGCCTTCCTAGATACAACCCGGGATAAAACCTCGATGTGGACGGTTGGTAGTACCCATTGAAAGGAGCTATGTGCTTAATGTCGCAGACACGATATCCTAGATCGAGGTGACTGACATGGGTTTAGGGGAAGCATCTGATAAAGCCCAACGGAAAAGAGCTCAATCACCACATTCAACAAACCCTATTTATCTAGACATCGCATAGTAGACCTAGGCTAGGGTGAGGGATAGTTCCCCGAAGTACCTGCTTTTATCCTGATTTGTTCTCTCTACTATTAGTTCGCTTGAATCCTCTATCACAAACCCTTAAACCAATTGGCTAAATAGCAACAACGTGAGAAGTAGGATAGGGTACCGAGACCTGAGTGAATACGACATTGATTACCACTATATGACAACGCCACTCTAGGTTAAACTTGGCCTATGATGGGGTAGTTATTGAGACGTGCTAACTATTGACAATGACTTGCACGGATTGAATCGATCAAACTTTTTGGCGCAGTTGCCGGGGAGCCTTGGTAACTAGTAGAAAACCATCAAGTTGTTAGTTTAGCCTTTATTTTTTTTGTTTTTTTTTTGTTTGTGTTTGTGTTATTTCCGTAGTTTTTATCGTTTTGTGTTTTGTTATCCAACTTTGTGCGTCACGGGTTATAGAGTTTCTTTTGTGAATAGACTTTCCCTCATGGACCGAAACGAGTTGGAACATATTACGAAGGAGACCATCGTTACACTTCGCCATCAAGGAGTGAGTGATGAGAGTGCTCTCGATCATATGTCTTACTTTCTAAAGGCCGCCAAAGCTGTGAGAATATCCGGGGTTCACTCAAGATCAGATTAATGGTATTCTTCACTTACACTCTGCGAGGGGAGCCCACCATATGGTATAGGGAGTTTCAAGCTACTTCCTCGCCATGGGGCGAAGTCATGGAAACTTTTGTGTATCGACACCTAGCTAGTACATTAGTTATGATGCAGAAGAAGGATATTGTCACCTTCCAACAAGGGGTCCGAGAGAATTTCCAACAGGCTTGGGAATGCTTTGGAGTTCTGATATGACAGAATCCGGATACGGATCATGCATTCCCTTCCTCCATTTGTCTGTTCTTGCCTTTGATCCAACCCTCTGTATCTAGCAGCACTAGCAATGCCAGCGAGAGAGAAATTCCGCAACTCTTTTTAACACTATCGTCAACTAAGCTTTACTCCTTCTTGAACGCTTCCATCTATTCCACAAGCTTATGCGAACTCAAACTGTGACGCCAAATTCGGCGGTTGTCATTGTACACATTCCACCCCTTTATTGAAAGCAATGTCCTGCCAATCCGAACTCCTACTAAACTAACGACATCAAGCTCACCCCTTACAGCTCCCCTGTCGAGCTTCACATTCACTTCTATTGTTAGTCGTGGTACAAGCTTCGCAACCCCAATGATTCCTTCCTTCTATCCGTGACCTTAGCACAACACTACCAACTATCTTAATTTGTTCCATATTCCGAGAAAACATCGCCTTTTTCTTCCTCCAAAATTTCCAGTTAATTGCCCTAGGCACGCACAGAATTCTCGAAGAGTAAGGACAGTTGAGCGATACCTTCACTTTGCCTGTCTAATTTTTCACCTCCCACGCTTGTTGGCAAAAACAACCAGCTCGTGGGGTAATTGCAGCAGGGCCTTGCACAAATATGGTGACGCTCTGGGCGGCTCCTACCTTCGTCTTCTTAGGATGAGCAGTTGGCCTAACTCGGCCTTCGCCTACAATCACTTTAGTGACAACTGATTAATGGACGATGAGCGGTGATGGTGGAGGGGTCATCAGCTCCTTTTTCGATCCATTGATAATAGGGATAGTAGTTGGTGCGGCCTCTACAGCCACCGGATCTGCTTTTTTCCAGTTGTTCGCTGGCGTTAGCGCTGGATTATAGTGGTGGATTAATCGGGTTCACCGCCTCATCCACCTGGTCGTTACCAACCTTTGCGCTGCTAGCTTCCGCTGGTGCCTCCACCTTCCGCTGCACTTCCTCCGCCATGATTTAGTCGAGATCGCCACGGTCACATCCGCTTCACTCGTTGGTGCCTGAGGCGGCTCGTCGGTCTGGCCTTCTTCGACATCATATGGTGGTTGTACGGTTATTGCCTCTTCGTCATGGACGGGAGATGCGAAAACTTTGGGGATTTTAATGTAGAGTTTGCTTTTATGAGGCCAACACGGCAGTGTGCCATGTCGTGAATTCCTCAATCTGCTTTCAGAAACGAACCCATCTGCATTTGTAACCCAGTGGGCGCTCCCCCGTAAATGTTAGCTCATCCGATGCATGTTTTTGGATACATATATGCTTGAATTCGAACCCGGGTTAGGAGACGAATAACTTAACACAATGAGGATACTCCCATCTACGAATATTTTGCTCGAGATCTTCAATTATGCGCTCGTTCCCGATTGAGAGTTGTGATGAACTCATATTCGCAACCAGGCTCTGATACCACTGTTAGAACTACGGTTCTTTAGGGTTTCGAATAGAATTAGGGATTGAGATTGGGAAGAACATAATTGGGGATCTAGTGATTTAGAAGAAGAATTTGGGGATCGAGTAGAAGAATGGTCGACGACCTTTAGGAATAGGTGATGAATTGAGAGGAAGAGATATTAGGGTTTTGAGAGATACTTCGATAATACTTTTCTGATTAATTTTGACATAAACTCAAGGTACATATTTATAATAGAAAGACATCCCAAACCCTAAGATTAATCCTAACCCATTCGGCCCAACTTAACCGAATTTCTCTATTCCTAATAGTAATTATATTTATTTAATAATAGAAGTAATAGTCCGTACCCTAAACCCCTTTGTTTCTAACACATTAATTGGGTCGGATCCGAACTCGACGGAAACATTCCACGTCCACCCCTACGCACTGTACATACTTTAACATGGACTGCAATTGCACCCCGATTCATGAGATCAACGATGTAATTTATACTTCCTACTAGATGTGTTTACCTGCACTCTACTGCGGGAAGTTGTGTTTCTTTTTTCACTTATAAGCAAGGTTCTCAATCCGGTCGATCAAGTAGGTTTATGATTAATGGTCTGATCGCTTTAGGTCGAATGTATAGAAAATTGTTATATTATTTATACATTTATAAATTATATTAAATAAAATTTAATATATGGTTAGTAACATATAATTTTATAACATTAATATTCAAATGTTCAATTTAGAATTTAGAATTTCAAAAATAGGGTTAAGTAAAAGGAAAACCGGGAAAGTTGCCCATTTCTCAAATTAACGGGAAAACGACGTTGTATGCCTTCAACCCGAGAACCTTGCAGTAAGTCGACCCATGAGTTGATCCATTTTCATCCTGACCTGGTGAGAAAAACAGGCGTCACACACAAACGATGTGGTTCTTGCTGCCCTGTCCCTCATTCCACACATAAACAATACGGTTGTTGTTACCCAATTATGTGTCTTCAATCCTTTATTTTTTTCTTTCGGATTTTCAATAACACGACTTCATTCATGTATTCCAATGCATCTCACCGCATACAAAATCATGGTTATAGTTCTAGTTCTAAGGCCCTCCGCGCGGCATGACCCACCGAGAACCGAAATCAAATCGAAAGGAAGGGGTACCGTTATTTCAACAGTTGTGGATCGCCCCTCTCATCGAAATCATTGTTGTCCGACTGTCGTTGGCTTAATTGCTCTATTAGTAAAGATTGTGAATGAAGTCATATTATGGAAGCAAAAAAGGAAACAATGTCGGATAACATAGAGAATTAGTAATAGTGATTCTCAAATTCAAAATTGATCAGAAGCCCAACAACAAACAAAAATAATTAGTCAATAAAACAGTACTGAGAGGTTTAACATTCTGAGTGAACATTAACTCTTGTTTATATTTATACTAGATGTTGATGACGCGCCTTGTTGCGGGACGGAGATGGCCTATGCGCATGTATTACGTGGCCCGTTATGGTGTTTTGTTAGTATTATTAACCTAAAATTAATTTTTTATTTGTAATTTTGTTAGTAATATTGACTTGACAATATGATATAGAATGAGAAGATATGACGATCAACATTCAATTTAAAAAAAAATGAAACTTTTGACTAATAAATGATATTTACCTAAACCTAAGTAGACTCATTGTTGTTCGACACTGTCGTAGGCTTAATTGCTCTATTAATAAAGATTGTGAATGAAGTTGAAAGCAAAAAAGGAAACTATGTCGGATAACAAAGAGAATTAGTAATAGTGATTCTCAAATTCAAAACTGATCAGGAGTCCAACAACAAACAAAAATAATTAGTCAATAAAACAGAATCGAGAGGTTTAACATTCTTAGTGAACATTAACTCGTTTATATTTATGTATATTAATTTTGTAAGTTCGTCATGAGTGGTGTATAAATTCCGTATTTCCATTTGTTGAATGCTTTCTTTTTTTCGTAAGACATTTGCTTAATGCTTTAATTATGCTACAGTTACTTGATGTGTGAAATTAGGTGGTAGACAATTGGAGTGCTGTGGATGGACATCTTAAGGAGCTGTAAGATAGATCCCTTCACCAAGAATTGAAGATAATTTAAGGTTTTAAGTTTAAGCAATTGCTAAAATAATGTTAGGCAAATGAAATTCGTGAGACGCTGATCGTTGAAAAAAACATCTTGCACTATAAAAAGTGACATCGACCAACCTATGCACCTGCTGAAGGGACAAACGAGTTCAAACACAAACCGATAAATCATCTGAAGGGCAATTCTCCGAAGAACCTCCAACTCTCTTCTTCGTCATTCATCAGGTTATTACAGAAAACAAAACAGAGTTACAGAGATGAATGACATCAACATAAAACACCTAAAGTAGAAAAGAAGAAAAGGACCTACAAATGAATGTCTAGAGAAAGAAGGATCCTAATTCTTTGTTCCTTTCCCTTCCCCACCTTCATCTACACTGCATCTTTCATTCATCATACAAGTGAAGTAGAAGAAACTTCAAAGCCCCTCCCCACCAACTGAATCACAATACTTCTCCTACCGCCAATACAATCAAAGAATACCAACACATATATCTTATATATATACCATCTATATCATTGCCGAGTATATAGACTTTTTGTTCTGGTTGCTTCTACTACACATAGTATGTGCACTGAGATCAAGATGCTTGCTTTCCTTTCCCCGACCATCTCATCTTTTACTTCAATGTTGCATCAGAACTGGATGTCTATGCGGGTTTTGATCGGTTTCAGCTTAATCCCCAAGCTCTCGGGGGAGAGAAGCTCCGGTGCTATGCAACATTGCCGCGAGGGACTCGAATGGTTAGACCCATTACTAGATGAAGAAGAAGCCATAGGGTGTTGCCTATAGAAGCCAAAACCCATGAGAAAGAACTCCATGGGGATTATCATTGCATATGGGTGTTCTTCGGTTACCAGCGAGCCGCATGCCTGAACCTGTTCCAAGCATATATGGCTTTTCGTAAGTGAACCAAGCATTAGAAGGACTTGCAGGCACCCCAAACAATAAGTTCAGTAACATAAATGAAATGATACCTCAACAAGAGCACAGCTTTTTCTGCCCATTTTCGAACTCATATACACAGCTTCATCTCTAAACGGACTACTTTCACCTACAAATACAAGTGTCTTGCACTCCAATTTGTGCAAGCTGTCTGAAAGGTCATGCCTCCTGCAGCATACATAGAGTTCAAAAAGTAAGCCCAGGGTTTCCTCTAATATTACCTTTTCCTCAAAAATTGAGAAAGAATAGGGCCGAAACAAAAGAAATAGAGAGGAAGCAGATATATTTTGACGAAGCATCTAGTAATAAGTAACAACAAGTACATACTCATTTACTGCTTGAAGAAAACGCTTCACATTCAAACTCTGCCTTTCATCAAGCAACTGCATCACATACCAACCATTAGAATGACTTTTCAACACACATATTAACTAACCAAAAAATCATAAACGATAGCTGTTCCATGAACTAATTTGTCTTGAACTTATGGTAGTGTTAGTTCCAAGTAGATTCACAAGTTCTCAATATATAAAATTTACCAAGGACTGAAGTAAAAATGTTGATCAAAACACAAAAACGGGGTAAAGCAATTATGAGAGAAATTTTCTCACCCTTCTGCAGGCCTGAATGATGTCTGATTCAGTTCCTTGTATACCACACCTCATTTCCTATATTAGAAAAACCAAGAATATGATAAGTTTTTTTTGCCGAGAAGAGATGAGAGAACAACACTAGACCATCACTCACCAACAATACCTTACTGAAGTACCGCTGGAGGAGGCATTCCTTCATTATCCCGCACATTCCGTAGAAGTATAATACATTAGATAAAACCTGAAAATCAGGATAGAAATGTTGATTCAATGTTTGACATATATCTTAAGAGGGCTTTAGTTGATCATTCTAGAGCATGGAGGTGTGAAGCTAAGGATAGATAAATCATAAACCTTATTGTAAAGCCATTCAGTCCATGAAGGAGCTTTGCAAATGGGAGAAACAAGAATCAACCCGAGCACCGATTCTCTATATTTCATCTGCAAATGAAAGGCAAGAATTGTCATAAGGAAATATGGGAAATCCCAGAAAGGGGAATTGACTAGGGTACTTTGACTATTAACTTACTGCAAATAGTGTAAGGATGTAAGCTCCTGCAGTAACACCCAAGCACAGGACCTTTTGCAGCCTGAAAAGAAGACCTTCAGTTAATAACTCAAAAATAAAAGGAGACTGAAAAGACAATGGGAAAATGGTTGTGGTTCCACACCCGAAGTAATCGAGCACTTCAGCAACCTGGTCTGCCAAGTCGTCAACACTCAGAAGTGGAGCATCTGAAGAAATAACATCAGCTCCCAACTGCAACAACTCTTAAACAAAATGTGGCTAGTATTACTATCACACAAAGGCATCAAATGGAACAAGAAGCTTCACATTCAGCTAAAAGATAGACGCTAACCTCGTGGCCTGGGGCATCAATGTGGTATATGCAGAAGTTGTGAAGCAACAAAGGAGCTGCTTCTGGGCAAAGAACAATCCTTGGAAGCAAGACATGGCTGCAAAAACCCACGAAGCCATGATTAAATTACAGAATTCAATGAAAGAAGCACAGAAAAATGTTCAGCAATCAAACACGGCAACCATTCAGAAGATAACATTAAATCCTCCAATCCTTGGTTCCAGCACATCAGAAAAATATTTACAGCAAGCAACGAAAGCCAAGAAACAAAGAAGATTGCAGTCTCAACCCATTACAGCCCAATTCAAATTACTGAAGCTCAATTTCACCACATCGCAGCAGCTTCAAAAACTCAAAATCTACAAACCGAATCCAGCAAAAACCAACAAAACAAGCAATCCCCTTTCCTTTTCAAACGAAACCAAAGCACAAGAACCTCCCATTGAATCTCCCAGCTTGGGAAGAATAAGAAGCAACAATATATAAAAGAAAAAGGAGAAAAAAAGCTTCATTTAAATCCAGCACCAAGAAAACGTAGACTTACAATTGAGAGCAACATCTGGGTAAGTAATCAGAGGCGGCTTCTCCTGATCCCACAAACGTACACAGAAATTGAACCTTTGCTCGTTTTAACCACACATTCCTGTTTCCCCAATAGCAAAAAAATCAGAAGAGCCAAAAACACAGAAATCAAATCCACCATTGTGAGGAGAAGCTCTCAAGCTTGTTTCCCATAGAACTTGTGAGATTGCTATTTACCTTGCCACCAAAAGACAGCATATCAATGTCAATGGAAACTGACTCGCTCGAATCCGCCATAGCTCCTTCCTCCTCCTCTCCTCTTTTCTCGCTGTAGCCTCGCTTGAAAACCAGCAAGAGAAAAACCGAGTCCTTCTCAAACTCACTGAGTTCGTCGGCGCCCACTCGCTTCCTTTGCCGACACCTCGTTCCTTTCTTTCTTTCCTTCTTTCTCTCCCCGCTTTGTTTCTCTCTGTTTATTATTCTCTCTCGCTGTTATTCTACTTGGGAATTCCCATAGTACCCTCGACGGTGCGCAGAAATCACGATCGAGACCCTCTCTATAGCTGAATGAAATGACGTGAGTACCCTGCGGACTAGTAGTTGAGCTTTGTCGTTTAGTTCGTTTTGGGGTGCGGATAAGTGACCGTTGGAGGTTAAGGTAACGGTCAGTGGAGGGTATAGTCGGGATCTGGGAAGGAGGGGGTTTGTGAATTGTCGGCGCTGGATACGACGTCGTTTCGGTAGGAGGAATCAGGCCATTCTCGGAGAGGCACCATACAGCTGTGCGCCACCTGGAAGCCGCAAAGAGGGAAGCGCGTTTCCTGGTCCAATTGCGATTTACTCTATCATTAGGAAGTGCGCCAGCTCATCACTCCCCCTCCCCCCTCTTAATTTCCACTTTTTACCACAAAGAAAAATAGCCACAAATTTAGGGATGAATAAATTTTGGATACGGTGGTGGTGGAAAATTTTGTTTGTTCTTCAACCAAAAAAAGAAAACAATTTGTTTTGTTCTGTATTGGATCTGATGAATGTATTGAGAATGTGCTCAAAATTGTCCCGAATTTTATTAGACTTTATTCTCGATTTGATTTTTGAAACATCGTGCTTTTTATCTACTTACTCCAGTAAAATCTGTCAACAAAGAGCGGAGCAGATGGCACATCTGTAGGAGTAACCGCTTGCATATCGACAAAAGCAAATAGGGATGGAAACAGGGAGAAAAGTGGCAGGAAAAGTGATGACGGAGAAGATGAAGTCGGGCATGAGGGAGAGAATTAATGATTGATTTTAAGCGATTTGCTTAGGAGATTCGAGACAAGATTTTGTACGTGGTTACGCCATTGACTTCGTCGTTTTAGCGGAAAAGCTGGAAGAAGACGAGAAAAGGCTACGATTGTATAAGGGTGTTTTTGTCACGGATAGTGGGTGTGGGGTTTTGGTAGATTTGATGCGAGAGGGCAATCTTGTATCTTCTTTTGAAGAGAGAATTAGCTGAATCTTGCCCACTTAGAAGGTAAGCGGAGCATGACGGTTCATATAGCATCAAACCTAGGGCTTTTCAATTGTATTATGATATTGGCAATGAGGATACATTACTTATAAACATGGCGTACTCTACATCTAACGATTGAAATTCGAAGGGCATATAATTTCAATATGCGATGATACTAGTGCCATGTAATAGTGTAGTCAATTTTCAAGTGTACAACAATTTGACATGGTTTTTGAACTTGCTTCTTCATTATTCTCGTGCATTCGATCCATCATCAGACAGTTGTGTTCTGTACCCGAGGCACACACTTATTATAGTTATTTATGTTTTCTCGCATTATAGATGTACCACACCCATTCAATCACAATTTTGACGACTAAAAAAGCAGTGTTTACTATTTACGCATGTTCATTCAGCATTATATTTAAATATTTTTTATAATTGAAAAATCATAGTGTGCAATTTCAGTTCATGAGTCTTAAATAGAATCATACAAATTTTATGAAAGAAAGTGGGTGTATGTATTTGTTTAAAAAAATTACATTACATTTCATGAATAAATTATATTCCATAAATGTTGATAACTACCAGACGGAATTATGAATTGAATACATTGTTGTATGGTGTTTCTTGATATGAAGTATGACTATAAATGAAAGAGAAAGGTGTCGAGGCTAATTGGTCAAGTAAAAGCCAGTATTTAAATGTGGGATGGGATGGGATGTTAACTTGAGAGTAACCAGAACCAGGAGAATAATGGAGCACCTAATTTGTTTTGGAATGTCTATACCTTTCCACCTAATGTGTTAAGCATAGAAACATTCCACCTAACAGATTCCTTTCTCGAACATCAAATATAGGTTATGACAAGTTTTCATTATAAATTAGTACATACTATTTTATTGAAACTGATTATAGTTTTCGTATGAAAGAGCAAGCGATGAGTATTATGAACATGACTCTTCCAAACCTTAACTGTTTTCAGGGTTGGTGCACGTAAAATCCACCTTTGTTGGGTTGAGTTGGGTGGAATTTTAGCAAAAATTCAGCTCGTTTTTCAAACAATTTGTACTTGAAAAGCAAAACGATGTCACCTATAATTTTTTGTATGTTTAATATAGCATTGTATGATATTTGGCATGGATAACGAGTATTTAAGGATAATTTTTGAATGTTATTGCTTTGTATGGTAATATAGTTGTACTTAAACTTTATTTGGCATGGACAATTAGTAAATTACAAGGATCTGGGTATTGAGGAAAATTATTTGCTATTATGTTTGTGAACTAATGGGTACACATATGGGTCGGATAGTTAGAGTTTAGTCGTTTAAATCACCCGGTAGGTATATTTCGATTTTGAAAATACTAAATCCAAACTCACTCCAAAAAATTAGAACTAATCTACGGTTTTTTTATTGGGTTGGGTCGGGTGGGCTATATTTTTAAGTCAAAACCTAACCCCACACTAAAAAAATTATATAACTAGTTAAAATTTCAAGCAAATAAACCACAGAGAAAAACATAAAAATTCATAGAAATCGTTATTTGGATCTTGATGAAGTGCAATTTACTGAAGCATATGTCTAGTGTTTTCCATGAGCATTTACCAAAATAAGGTAAAAATGTTATTCATTATATGGTAACGCGTCCATATATCATATATGTTATTCTTCTAAAATTGTAGACAAAAAAATTGTGAATCATACCCAATATTAACTACGTCTAATATGATAAAATATCCTAATTTTCTAAAAATATATGCTTGTATACGACTTAAATACATTTTGGATAAGAACACTTAAGACAATATTTGTAATATGGGTTGGGTCGGGTATCTACGAGTTGCATAACCCAAAACCTACATGCAACCCAAAAGAGGTGGATTCCACAAAATAAAATATGCACCCGACCTTAAACCTTAATTTTAACGATAAATACGAGTGAGTTGCATCAAGTTGGACAGATGACTCGGTTACAATTATTTTGTTCACCTTAGGTACACATACACCCAGTACGAATTTTCTATTACATAAACTATTGGAGATAGGGCTTTTTTACATAAATATTGTATATTTAAAAATTATTACCACAAATATAATGCTGAAAAATGTATTGACGAAAATATTGTGTTAGGCAACAAAAGTGCACGACAACGCACGAGTTGAGCAACATTTAAGCCTTTTGTACGTTACCGCTCGAGCTGAGGGTAACTTACTAAAGAAAGCTCAGCTTGCACTGTAGCACGCATGTTGAGCTAAAAGGATATTTTTTATGCTCAGCTCTCGCGCGCGGTAGCGCACGTCTGTCACTCTAACGGTCACAACACCTGCCAACGGGAAGAAAAAAATGGCTAGTTTTTTTTTTGTTTCCTATAGATAGGAGAAGCTAGTTCTCATTTTTCCATAAATTTCTTTCACCCTTTCTCACCACAAATACTAGCATTAAGAAGATCATGATCATCATGTGAGAGAATCATTGTGAAGATGGCCAATACGAGGTAAGATATGCATATTTTTTTATTAGATGTTTGAAATGTTATGAACTGTCAAACTGTTAGTAAATAGTGAATTTGTTTTTGTGTATGTAGTGATTTTAGACGTTTTGAACTAATTGTTCGGTGGGGATTGAAAAAAGTAGAGAACAATATCTGCATCAATTTTTTTGGTGACAGAAGCTTTCAGTTGACACTTTCTTGTCGGGTGACGTACGATCAGAATTATGAGAATATAATTTCAAGGATACGACCTAATGACGATATACTACAAGCTAACGATCGGATCACAAGTTTCACTATTGCAAAGCATATCAATAGGATGACTGCTCGAAACGTCAATGACTGCTCGACCCTATCTCTGTATGCGGGCACTCTGTCCAAGTACGGACACCACTACATCCAAACAGTGGTCACATTTTATTTGATCTAAACATATGAAATGAAAGAATATTCACAATTTAATGGAACATACTAACCACGATGGTTTACACCTCGTCAAAAACAACTTGTAATTGTGGAAATGGTCGTAGTGCTTATGGGTGTTGGTCGAAAGCCATCTAGCACCACGTGGGTGAGCATCAGTAGTGATAAGATGCCAGGTATTATCTGTGAAAATCACTCCCATACCCAAATTTGAAGTAGGTGACCCATGCAGCAAGGTCACCTCTTAAAGAAGCAGATTGTGTAATCTGCAACACTAACCGACTCAACTCACGATACAAGTAAGTAAAAACAATTGCTTCCCGTCCGAACCATCCTCTACTCCAATCATCCAACAAAAGCAGGTATTGTAGGTGAACATCGATCCAGACCGATCATGAACAATACACCTCCTAGCAAATATGGAGCATATGCTCATGCATACTAGCCTATAGTCTCTAGTGTAGAATCAGCTGACAGCTGACCAAACGTATTCCTAAGCCAAGTCATCCTAATCAGCCCGCCAGAAAGATCAGTCGGAGCTCGTCCTAAGAGTCTCACACACATCACCGACCAATCATCATCTGGTTAACTAGCATGACGGGATCACCATCTATCGCTAGCCAGTCAGTGTCGCAATGTCTTCAAGAGTGATCATACACTCACAAAATGGCAAGTGAAAATTAGATGTCTTGGGCGCAGTGATCAAACTCGCATCAGCGGTCATAGGGACCAATGGTCTAACACTCAGCAAAGGCGCATCATTGCAGTACGACTCATAAAGTGGATTCCAATTTACCAAACGGGTCGTACCTCTAATCTGGTAAAGACGATCACCACCCTATAACACACAAAACTTATATTAATTCCCTCTAGAACTTAAATCTAAATTCAGTTCACCTAGTAATTCTAATTTAACTAAGTAAAGAACTTTAATGAAAAACTTTTATAAAGACTAACCTTGTTTGCCTAAAATGAATCACCCCGGTGTAAACCATGTTGCCTAAGAAGTTCTGAACCGATTAGATTTGGATTGATTGTCGT